AGGGGGGGGGCAGGGGGGCAGAAGTGCCCTTTTAGTTGTAAAATACTACCTGATAAATCACATTCCCAGTGATGCTTTTTCTGAAAAAATCATGAAATTCAGGTAATTTATAGGCCCAGAGAAAGTAAATTAACAAAAATAATTCTGAATTTGGTAAAGAATGAGTTTAATTTACAAAAATTTTAGAAAATTTTTGGAAATTAGAAAAATTTTTTAACTTAACGGAAAATTTTGGTATATCCGGAAAAAAATTTTGATCCCTAAAATGGTACACTGAAAATGTTTTGGCGACGGGGGGGGGGGGGGGGGGGGGGGGGGGGGGGGACGTCGCCCAAAAATTTCCATGAAAAAATATTTTCTGGTAGATTTTGAACTTTTGCTCTATAAAGGTGCCCTTGGTGTGCGTCTGCCCCCCTTTGCCTTATTCTCGTTCCGGCGTCCCTGGTGATACTGATGTTACAGAAAAAACAGAGTTGCCTGCGGAGGAGGCTAGTATAGCCTGTATTGTAGTACATTTTGACACCTCACACCTATACCGTACTTTAATTAAATTTTTACGATGCACTTAGATATCGAAGCTAGCATTTTTTGTAAAAAAAAAATTGTATACGATAATAAAGAAATTTCAGAAAAAATAAAACCTAACTAAATCTCTGATACACAGAAGAAAAAAGTTTCATAGACTGAGCGTGTTAAAAATTGCAATTTCGTACGGCTTATTCGCGGGCGGCGCTTAAACGAGTACACTGTTCTGAAGAAAAACCATAATCTATGGAGTGTTTTTACGCTAAAATTTGCTTGAATTTTGCATGCAAACTAATTAGTAGTTGATTCCTTAGATAGAGACTTTTACGCTGTGAATGAGTAATTTTAACCAACGCTGTCTATATTTCAAGGCAAACGCACGCTTCAAGTCTTTCGAGCGGTCGCCATAAATATACTGTATTTATTACAGTATTAATAATAGTCCGACAAACTACGACAACAATACCTAAATACAAAAGCCACTTATTCGCTCCTTGAGAGGCAGATCAATTCTTCATGAATTTCTTTTAAAGGTGATCTACAGTCCGTATGTAAACAAAGCCTTTGTTTACATTTTTGTGTCCAAAATATTGAGCTTTATTCGATCGACAACTATTTATATTTTCAAGCTTCTACAGTATAATAAATGATCAAGAAACAACAATCAGGCTTTGCAAGAACTCAAAACATAGTTAAACTGTTTGTATCATAAAAAGTGTGCTCATTTGTGCACATGCGCAAATCGGACTGTAGATCACCTTTAAAAACCCAGCAAAAGAAATGTATGAACAAACAAAAAATTGGATCCATACTGCAATTGATGATTCCCCTTTATTACGTTTTCGTAGCGCTTTGCATTGTGGTTATAATGGTATCACTGATATTCAAGATGGCTTTATCTTTTGTCCTGACCCGTGCAAGAACTTTTAAATCGCGAAAACATTCGATATTTTCATTCGAGGCCGCTATCTTTATCAGTGATACCACTATAACCACAATGCAAAGCGCTACGAAAACGTAATAAGGGGAATCATCAATTGCGATCGTTCGAGGAACTAGGCGAAGCGACTTCGCTCCTTGAAAGTGAAAATTCGCGAAAACAATGTGTATTCTTGATCAATTTCTTTCAAAGAGCAACCAAACAAAAAGAGTGTGAGGAGGCAAACAATTCGACGATTTGAAGGTTACGTAGTAAAAATAGCGAACGTTTAGTGAACGTTTCAAGCATCCATCAATGAGATATTCCCATTTGGTAAAGAGCACTTTTGTGCAGACGGAGACGAAAATCACCCGAAATCAAACCTATAGTTGCTGGCTCAGGTGCCCCAGCAACTAATAACACATGTGATAGATTACCATAATTATGTAAATTACTATAGTGCACGTGAAATTTATTTTATTTCTTTGAAATAATAATTAATTTCAACATTGTATGTGAATCATTGTTTTCACTTACCTATGGATTCTTAACTTCTTCTTCATTGGGTTCTTGCCAGCAGAGGAAGACGTCTGTGACCGATTACAGGTGGGGTGGGAATAAAGAATTGGGGTTCGTCTTGATAGTTTCTATCAATTTTTCGACTTTCTGGATGGCCTCCGTGAGATCTTTGCCTCGAAATAGATTTCGGGTAGGAACAAAAAAACTTGGCAAGTTTCCTACTTTGAGTGCGGAAAGGAATTTATTGATAAATTCTCTAAAGCGAGGAACAAGATTGGATTCCGTCCAGTAAGCTTTCTCCGGATGATCATAATTCATCTTCATTAAAACGTTCTTCAAGTGGTAAGAGGCTAGGGTTTTAGGCCATTCGGTAGCTAGCTTTAAATACTTCATGATTTTCTGCAACTTTTTTCGAATTCCTCCATCTGCATCGATGTCTTTGAAAAGTTTTATTTCAATGGCGGAGAATGAAATTTGCCAAAGCCTGGTGTCATCTGGTGCTTCAAGTACCTTTGGGACAAGTCCTACCCCTACAGCCTTAAGTTGGGGGCTTATATTTGTAGTAGCACTAGCTGGCCAATTTTTTTGCTGGATGTAAAAGACTAAATCGATGTCAATTTTGGGGAAGGCCGCTTCTCTGGACGGTATTTCAAAGTTTATCGCAGGACCGACCTCAATAACATCAGTTTTAATTTTTAGTTTCTTCACAGCTTTTTCCACGAGATTTTTCATATGAGCTCTTACTTGTATTGGATCGATGGCACCTTTAGGATCTTTGAGCTGATACCTATTGAGAAATATGATATATATGATAAGCTTTCACATGTAAATAAATGTATTTCTGTAAATGAATGCACTGGTGACATCCAGAATTAGCACACACTTAGCGAATGCCATTAATTTTTTGGAGAAGGGGAAGAGGCTGCTTGATTGTCGTATATAAGCCAATCATATCAGAAGAGACGTTCTCCTATTTGTACCTATTTATATACTACAACACTTACTTATCCAGGCAGGTTGTGCCTTTTCGAATCGCGTACGCAAATCCAGGAAGGCTCTGTTTTTCGTTGAAAACAATTTTATCCTTCCATTTTTGATTGTAAAGCACAAAATCAAATTCATCTGGATGATAAACCTTCAAATCTTCCTCAGCCGATCCTCGGAGTTGAACAAGGTCAAAACAGTTATCAGCATTCTTCATGATGTCTGTTATCTCGGTGATTCGTTTTGTGACGTAGGTTTTCACTCTGACCATAGTCATGGGGTCGATTTGGGTTCGTGTGTATATTTGATTTAACCATTCGTGAAACTTTGTATCCCCACCTGTAAGAAAAATTGATGAAATTTAAAGAAAATTCCTGAGCAGTGGTTCATCTATTTGATGACTTTCAAACACAATTCTGCGTTCAATTGCCCCCTTTGGAACTAGTTTTGTCGAGAAAAAGGTATACGACTGCCGTGCAATAGCAGAAAAATGACCTCATTGAACCATAAGTCGGTCAGTTAATTAAACAGTTTTCCTGAACTATTCTTTAAGACAAATTCTCTATAAAAATTGCTCTGTAGCAGTTCTTCACTTCTGAAATGGCCTCTGCGATTGAGGACCCTGCCAGAATTTGTAATTTATGTAACGGCAAAGTAATTAAATTAAAAAATTAAATTAAATGTCCTACTACAACTGTCTTTATAATGGCATTTGGGTTTTCCCATTTTTATGTCTTTCCTTCCCAGTCCCTGAATCCCAGTAACGCAAATTCCATTTTCCCAGTCAAAAATAGGCAAATACCAGTTCCCATTTATCCCTTCAGTACAGTTAAAAAATGCCTCGCGGTAGGTTGAATCTCAAAATTACCTGGGGAAAGGGATTGGATCATCAGCTGCTATACTACTACCGAGAAACACAGTCGCAATAACCAATCTCAAAAGTTGCGTCATTTCCTGATTTCTGCTAGAAAGAGGAAATTAAACAAATCAGTTTGAAATTGTTGAAATGTATCAGATTGAAGTAGTCTGAAGCAAAATTTAAAATCATGGTTCTCATTATTATGAAAACGATATTAATTTAATCGAATAGACCCTGTACAATAAATTGTGTATGTAAAATAAAATAATGAAATGGATTGCTTACAGTACAAATTTTAATCTTCTATTGCTTCGATTCTTTTAACTTCGACTTCAGATACATAAGTAATACTTGATTTTGTTTCATAGTTTTTGTCTAGTGATGATCCTATCCATCAGTTATCTGTGATCTGCCGCCATTGAAATTTTTCGAACTCTACACTCTGCAGGACTGGTAGAATGCTACTACCAGTGTGTTCACGCCAGGGAAAGATATCCTAACTATAGTACTCTGTAATTTAACAGAGTACTATAGTACTCTGTAATTTCAAATATTCTTGACATACCTCGAGACAGCAGACAGCTTGCAGGCAAAAGGGCATCCACTATTATTATTATCAGTTCTCGTTCATTTTGCTACTTGTAATTACAAGATTAAATTTTAAGCGATTTACAGCAGGTTACTACAGTCAGAGAGTGGGTATAGGAAATTAACAAAGAACTAACTAGCCTGCAGCCGAAGATTGCGGGCTGGGTGTGCGAGATTGAGTGAAAGCATTTTACGAAACTGGGATCGAGTTTGCAAGAAACTCGCAAATCTATTCTTGCGGGCGGCGTGCGCTTAACGTCATGGCGGTCATGTTTCAGGAACGCGAGCAGAAGAATACCATTAAAAGCGAGTGTATTTACAGCGGGTTTTCTTCCAATACGGCCGCGGTATATATCTGTCTCATAAATCTCAAGGAATTAATTTCAAACCATCAATATCCGAAGAAAATACCGTGAAAATAAGGTGCAGATGTATGAACAAAAAGGATCAGGGCTAGATATAATTTTTGGTCCATGTCAACCCTTCCACAATTAAAATAACACATGTGATGAATGAAAATAGAGCATGAGAAATGCATTTTATTGCTTAGAAATAATAATTAATTGCATCATTGTAAATAATTGTGGTCACTTAACTATGGATTCTTAACATCTTCTTCAACGATCTCTTTTTCTGTGGGTTGTTGCTGGCAGAAGAAGACGTCTGCGACGGATTACACATTGCGCTTTGAGGTGGGAATAGAGAATTGGGGTTCGTCTTAATAGTTTCAATCAATTTCTCGACTTTCTGGATAGCCTCCGTGAGATCTTTACCTTTCAATAAGTTAAATGTGGGAATAAAAAAACTTGGTAAGGTTTTTGTTTTCAGTGCGTTAAGGAAAGCATTAAGCAATTCTCTGAAGCGGGTAACAAGATTGGAATCGGTCCAGTAAGCTTTGTCGGGATGATCCAGATTCGTTTTCATTATGATGGTTTTCAAGTGGTACGAGGACACGGTTTTAGGCCATTCGGTAACTAACTTCAAATATTTCATGATTTTCAGCAGTTTTCTTCGGATTCCTCCATCTGCATCGATGGTTTTGAAAAGCTGTATTTCAATAGCAGAAAATGAAATTTGCCACACTTTGTTGTCTTCTTCGAGTACCTTTGGAACAAGTCCAACGCCTAACGCTCTCAGTTCGGGGCTCAGAGGGGTAGTCGCAGTCGCTGGCCAATTTTCTTGTTGTATGTACAAGACTAAGTCGATATCGATTGTTGGGAAGGACGCTTCTCTGGACGGTATATCAAAATTGATCGCCGGTCCGACTTCTGTAACTGTTGTTGTAATTTCTAGTTTGTCCAAAGCTTTTACCACAAGATTTTTCATGAGAGCTCTAACTTGTACTGGATCGATGGCACCTTTAGGATCTGTAAGCTGGTACCTATTAAAAGAAAGTTGACATACAGTATTTCCTCCATTTTTGGCCCCTGGGTTCTGAAGTGGAGGGCTTATTATAGGTGGGGGTGGGGAAAAGATTGGGGCGCCCAAGTGACAACAAAGGACCACATTTTTGCATAAACGTTGACTAACATATAGACACAGTAAAAAGTTATAATGTTATTCTAATGAGGCCAAGCCATCTATTCTATTAAAGATGCTGTACAGTCTGATCTGCGCATGTGCACAAAGGAGCCCTCTTTTTATTATACGAACAGTTTATTTAGGTTTTTATTTCATTTTATCTTCTTGCAAAGCTTTATTGTTGTATCTTGATAATTTATTATACTCTAGAATCATGAAAATATAAATAGTTGTCGAATAAAATTATATATATTTTGGATACCGAAATGTAAACAAAGCCTTTGTTTACATGCGGACTGTACCGCATCTTTAACTATGGTCTAACTCTCGTGGAAAAGATATTTTTACATACTTCTCGAAACAAGTTGCAGCTTGTCGCATTGCATACGCAAATCCAGGCAGGTTTTGTTTTTCGTTGAAAGTAATTTTATCTTTATACTTTTGATTAAAAAGAACAAAATCAAATTCATCCGGATGATCTATCTTCAAATTTTCCGCTGCTGATCCTCGAAGCTGAACAAAGTCGAAACAGTCACCCTCTGCCTTTATTAGGTCTGATATTTGAGTGATTCGTTTTGTGACGTATCCCTTTACTCTGTCCATTGTCGTAGGGTCAATATAGGTTCTTTTGTACACTTGATTTAACCATTCGTGAAACTTTGTATCACCACCTGGAAACAAAGAGAACTCTCTTGTCAAGACTTGTTTGCACTATGAAAGTTTCTATGATCACAGTAGGAATTTGCACAGGTAAATTCTAAGTTTTGAAGGATTTGTAAGAAGGGTGTTAGCCAGAAAAAAAAGTGTTGTCCGTTAAACGTAAATTGG